GGGGGGGGGTGCTGCAGCAAATCACTCACCCCCTCCCATTTGCCGGCGGCTCCTCTGTGTGGCTGCGGTGGACTGCATTGAGGATGACCCATACGCTGCTGGTCACCATTAAGCCAGTAAGGGTGTTGGATGTCAAAAAAAAGTCAACAAACCTCCCCAAAAATTTATTCTACTAACCCTGATTCTCCCAGATTTCCTTTTGAATGGGGGAGGGGGGACATTTTTGGCGGTATTGAAGTCAGTGTATTATTGCCCGGCCTTACGCTGAATAATTAACACTCTGACCCCCTGGTGCATCGTTTTCCAGCACGTGTCATAATCAGTGTGTTTCTGCAGAATGGGCCGGGTGGGGGGGGTGACAAAGAGAAGGCTTCCGGACCAGGTCTCCGCGCCTCCCCTGCATTTTGCCGTTGGGAGAGAGGCCCTTGCATTATGGTGAAATGCTGCCCCCTTGTGCCCACGCCCCATAACTGCATTCCTGAGACAGGCCCCTCCTCTCCCTCCCAGTTATGGCTCGCTTGTGTACAGAGTGTGGTTTTATACCTGAAAGAACCGCCTCCGGGATCGTTGAGCTTGTTTTTTAGATTTGCCGAGACCTGAGCGGAGAAGCCCACGGGACTCTTGCTTGCTGGTATTACTGGTCCCTTCCCAACTACACCTGGGAGGAGGAGGAAGAGGATGAGAAAAGAACAGAGGGGAGCTGTTATCACTGGCCGCCCAGCAGCTTGTCCATCAAGCGGGACTCTACCTTTAAAAGCGTCCCGTGAACACTAGAGCCCGCTGAATGCTCCTGTTCACGGCTGAATACAGACACAGCGGCCGCCGGTGCGGCTCTGCTTCAGACCGCGTCCCACCGCCAGGAGACGCAGCCGCCCCGTCACTCCGCGCCCGCTTTTAAGAGCCATGTCCCTCGCCACAGGCACACACTATTTTTAGTTCCCCCGCATGCCAATTAATGGACAAAGAGCAACCTACAGACCTGCACCATTAGGCGCTTGGAGAAGAAGCAACACACACACACACACACACACACACACACACAGGTTTGAATTCATATCATTCTGGGGACTCTCCATTCATTTCTATAGGGAAAAACCCTAATCCCAACCTGACAACCTTAACCCCTACCCAGCCCTAACCTTAACCATAAGTAACCAAACTAAATATGAGACTTTTGGCAATTTACTACACAC